GTTTGGCTTATTCCTGCAAATGACGTAATTTTTTTTTTTTTTATGACTGAATAAAACTCCCTTGTGTCTATATATCACATTTTGTTTATCCATTTATCTGTTGATGGACACCTTGGCTGGTTCTGTAGTTTGGCTGTTGTGAATTGTGCTGCTGTTGTAAATATGGATACGCATGTATCACTATAGTATGATGACTTTCATTCTTTAGGATAAATTCCAAGAAGCGGTATAGCTAGGTCTATGGTGCTTCCTTGCCTAGTCTTTTGAGAAACCTCCACACTGATTTCCATAGTGGTTGTACTAATTTATACTCCCACCAACAGTGTAAAATGTGATTTTTTTCCTCTACATCCTCTCCAGCATTTATTATTGTTTTTATTCTTGATAACTGTCATTTTGACTAGATTGAGATGAAATCTCTGTGTAGTTTGACTTGCATTTCTAGTTATTTTGAACAGTTTTTCACATATTTGTTTCTTCATTTGAGAAGTCTGTTTAATTCATTTGCCCATTTAATAATTGGGTTGTTTGATTTTTTTTTGGTGTAAAGTGTTTTTGAGTTCTTTATATATTCTAGGTATTAACCCTCTGTCATAATAATAACTAGCAAAGATTTTTCTTTCAGTCTATAGGTTCTGTCTTCACATTCCTAATTGTTTCCTTTGCTGTGCAGAAACTTTTAAATTTGGTGCTATCCTATTTATTCACTCTTGGCATTATTTCCTGAGCTTTATATTGCCTGTTCCTAAAAGCTGGAATTCTGACCTGAATTGTCTTCTAGGAGTTGCATAGTTTCTGGTCTAATTCCCAGGTCTTTGATCCATTTTGAGTTGAGTTGATTTTTGTGTAAGGTAAGAGATAAGGATCTAGTTTCATTCTTCTACATATGGATAACCAGTTTTCCCAGCACCTTTTGTTAAAAAGGCTATGTTTTCTCCGATGTATGTTTTTAGCACTTTTGTCAGGGATCTGTCAAGGACTGTAGATGTGTGGGTTTGTTTCTGTGTCTTCTATTCTGTACTTTTGTTCTATGTGTCTGTTTCTATGCCAGTACCATACAGTTTTTGTTATTATAGCTCTGTAGTCTAATTTGAAGTCAGGTATTATGATGCTTCCATCTAGCATTGCTTAAAAAAGGCTTTGAGTTGCTTTGGATATTCTGGGTCTTTTATTTCCAAATGAATTTTAGGACTTTTTCATAGTTCTGTGAAGAATGTCTTTGCTATTTTCATGGGGATTGCATTGAATCTTTATATTGGTTTGCTTGTATGGCCATTTTAACAATATGAATTCTGTCTATCCATGAACATGGAAGGTCTTTCCATCTTCTGAGTCTTCAGTTTCTTTCTTCAATTTTATTCTATAGTTTTCATTGTAGAACTCTTTTACTTTCTTGGTTAGATTTATTAGTAGTTATTTTTTTTTTTTTGAGGTTATTGTGAATGGAATTGTTTTTCTGTTTTTTTTTTTTTTTTCTCAGCAGATTCATTCTTGGTATATTAGAAAGCTATTGCTTTTTGTAAGTTGATTTTATAATCTGCTACTTTGCCAAATTTTTTAAAAATTTGTTCTAGCAGTCTTTTGGTGAATTTTTTTGAATCTTCTAAGTATAAGACATATCATCTGCAAATAGTGATAATTAGACTTCTTTTCCTATTTTTATCCCTTTTATTCCTTCTCTTGCTTAATTGCTGTGATTAGAATTTCTAGCACTTTCTTAAATGGGAATGATGAGAGTAGACATCCTTGTCTTGTCCCAGATTTTAAAGGAAATGCTTTTGTTTTTTCCCATTTACTATGAGATTGGCTTTGGGTTTTTCATATTTAGTCTTTATGGTGTTGAAGTAGATTCCTTCTGTCCCTAGTTTCTTTAGTGTTATGATAAAACAATAAGTGGGTGTTGAATTTTTTCAAAGACCTTCTCTGAATCTATTGAGATGACTAAGTGATTTTTGTCCTTAATTTTGTATTTGTGTGATAAATTACATTTATTGATCTTGCATCTCTGGAATAAAACCAACTTGGTCATGTTGTATAGTCTTCTTTAATGTTTTTGAACATGATTTGTTAATATTTTGCATTTATTAAGTTCATCAAGGATATTGGTCTGTAGTTTTCTTTCCTTGGTGTGTCCTTTGTAAGAGACTTTTTGCTGTTTTTCCAGACCCTAGGTTAATCCCCCTCAAGTACCTTTCAGATTATATCAATTTCCTGAACAATGTTCTGTGGTAGTAGAGTTATACTCCACATAAGTTAGCATTTAAATTTCTTTGCACTCTTTCAATCCTTACTTTCCTCTCCTTTTGTTACTTCCCTAAATGGAGCCAAATTAATTTGGTATTTAACCCTACTTATTGGTTTCTTTGTTCTCAGTCTCCTTATTATGTACTCTCTTTTCTCCTGGTGTGCCTTAATTTCTCTGCTGGTCTTCATCTCTCATTCCCTTCAATGACTGACTTATTTTGACTCTTTTTAAAATTACATTTTTGCATCCTTTTAACATTTAAACATTTAGTTTGTCTAGATATAATAAAGTCCATGATACCCTGCTCTTGATGCTGATCTTTTTTTGGACATGCGGCTTTATATCATTATTCCATTTGAGAACTATTATTTCTATATTTTTTATAGATCTCTTTCTACCTGTGGCAGAATCTTTTTTGGGAAGTGTTGGGGGGTACAGGGGATTGAACTCAGGGGCACTTGACCACTGAGCCACACCCCTAGCCCTGTTTTGTATTTTATTTAGAGACAGGGTCTCATTGGGTTGTTAGTGCCTTGCTGTTGCTGAGGCTTGCTTTGAAGTTGCCATCCTCCTAAGCCACTGGGATTATAGGTGTGTGCCACCATGCCAGGCCTGTGGCAGAATCTTGAACATAATAAATATTAAATAAATATTCATGGCTGAGAGATCTAGAAAAGTTTATGAAAAGATGTGTAATATTTAGCATCATTTTTCTTCAGTTTTAAAAATGCAAAGTTATGCCTTTTATGTCATTATCTGGTTTTAACTTCTTATTTTTTTAATTTTATGCCGGGTTTTAAAGACAGTGTTCTCAATACAGTAAAATGAAATTTGACAACATATTACTATAAATATTAAATTTGGTTTATTGAACACTAGCTTTTCAATATATCAGATTCTCTAGAGAGAGGTTAGCTTCCTGTATGCTTGCTATGCATTTTTTTTAAAGGAGTAATAACCTTAAAGTGTTCTCACTATGTGATAATAATAAGATCTTCCACAATTTAAAAGAGACATAGTTACCAACACTCAGAATAAGAGATGGTGACTTCATGGTTTCATTCTTTGTCCAAAGCTGTGCTCCTGTTGCTGACTCATTCTTAAATGAAACATTTCTTTCCATAATTTTCATGTCATCCAAAGTCAATATTGGGAAGGAAAGAAGGATTATTAGAGTGGAGCTTGGGTGAGAAGGACATAGGCAGAAAGCAGCTTCCAAGATCAAGAGTTAGCTGTCTTGCCTCCCTGCCTTTCTTCCTCCCTTCTTCCCTCCTTCTTACCACAAGAGCAGAGAATTGGCTTGAAGATAGTCCTTAGTTCTTAGCACTTCATTAACTTTGTCAGTATAAAGTTATTTTCTTATGCTTTTAACCCTTTATCCTCAAGCCACATATTCATTCCTTTCCCAGCTCAGATGTATCCACTCCTATATGTTTTATGTTTTGGCCTACATAATTTGCTTGCAGGATATATAATTATGTGTGTGTGTTCAGTCTTACATATGGTATTTGTTATTTTTACCAAATCAGTATATTTAGCAATTTTTAAAGATGTGTTCATATTTATAGGCACATCTAAAGTGTGATTTCTAAAAGCTACATAGAATTATTTATTTATATCCACTCCATGTTGATTTTCCATGCTCCCAGTATGGAAATCAATGTTACTTCAAGCTCCTGCTGCATTATCATCACGGTGAACACTCTCACACAGGTCTATAGTATGTAATTTGCATATATATAACCTTATTTGAGAATTTCTTAGGGATTTATTCCCCAGAGAGGGATCACGGGATCATAGCGCCTATACATGCTTAATGTCACTAAGTATAAATAGATCACTTAGCAAAGTGGCTGTATCGGTTTATATTCTTACCCACAGTGCATTGAGTTCTTGCCTCCCCACATCTTTGCTAACTTTGCTATATCTACCATCCTAATTTTTGCCCTTCTGGTGGGTATAAAGTGCTGTACCATTATTTTAATTTGCATTTTACTCATTTGCTTTACTCTGAATTTAATCATCATTTTATATATTGTTAGCCATTTAGTTTTCTCTTTCTGTAAGTTCCCTATTTGTAACTTTTGTCCATTTTCTGTTGGGTGTCCTATAATGTTTATGTTGAATTATAGACTCTACTTACATCCTATAGAGGAGTAATCCCTTCAGTTTTAAATGTTGTAAAATCTTCTCCTTATCTTCATTTTTCTTTAGTCTATTTATGACCCTAAAGTTGAATACATGGGAGATTTAATAGGCCAATCATTTATAGCACAATCATTTATATTCACATGGTTTGTTTAACTCTAGGGAAGGCTGAAAAATATGGTTTAGCTTTGGACCCAGAAGGAAGAGAAAATGGGTTTGGTGAGCAGCCAGCAATTACCATACCATATTGATATCCTTTAATCAAGTTCCTTTTTTCCTTTTTTTTTTTTTGATACCAAGGATTGAACTCAGGGGTACTCAACCACTGAGCCACATCCCCAGCCCTTTTTTATATTTTATTTAGAGAAAGGGTCTCACTGAGTTGCTTAGTGCCTCACCATTGCTGAGGCTGACTTTGAACTCCTGAACCTCCTGCCTCAGCCTCCTGAGTCACTGGGATTATAGGCATTTGCCCCTGGGCTTAACTTTTTTTTTTCTTAAAATTGTGTTAGCTTCTGTTATTTGTACATCATTGCATGAGGTATTTTAATAATAAATGTATTTAAAATAGTAGAAGAGATAAAGATCAATTAATTTGTTTTCTCAGGAAAATTGGGCCGATTTCCACCTGTAATGCATCATCACCCGGCACCCTCAGATGGCCCAACCCCTGGGGCTCGTTTCCAGAGGTCTCACCTTGCAGAGGCATTTGCAAAAGCCAAAGGATCAAGTGGAGGTACTGGAGGAAGTAGTGGAAGAGGCCTGATGGGGCAGATTATTCCAATCTATGGCTTTGGGATTTTTTTATATATACTGTACATTCTATTTAAGGTAAGTGGAATCATCTTAATTATATCATATTTTATGAGAGAAAATCTAATATTAGTCTAATAAAAATCATCTACATTTAAAACTCTTTATTTAAAGTTTATCAAACTCTTTCAAGTCCATCATCTCTTTAAACCTTGCCTCCTCTTTGAGATACTTAGGATAGCCAATATTTCAGCTTTACCGATGAGAAATCTTGGCTCAGAACTCGAGTGCCCCACAGTTTACAACTAAAAAGGCAAAACCAAGACTTGGGCCGGATCTTCCAGTTTCTAGTCCAATGAGCAATGTGATTCAAAGCCAAATTTAAAAAAAAAAAAAAAAAAAGGACTGAGTATCTTTACAAGCTGAAGTCTTTAACAGCTTTATTCTTAGGGTTGGCACAGTGATTTCCAGGTAGCCACTGTGAGACCAAATAATGATTGTACTAATATGACTTTGTTTTCCTTCTCCCCACACTAATATGCCATTGTTATTTTTAATATCCTCTCTAGTAATTCTCCTAGGACAGAACTATCTTATCTTGAAACTGAGCTTGATATTTCCTAGTTCTGGGGAGACATGGTGTGCTCTTTTAAAAAGAGATTTCCAGTTAAATTCCACCTCCGGGCAGGCTTTTGTAGGCCACAGTCCTATGCACTATCAAGTAGAGACGGAAGCTTCACTTTGTACTCCTAACTAGAGTAAGATTAGGTGATTTGAGTTTCTTCTTGCCCAGGAATGCTGCACACTACCAGAGTTGATTCTGCAAGTATGCCCCTGGGGTTTAGCATCCCCTTTAAGATAAGCATGGGCAAAGCAAATGACCTGTTGGAAGATTTTTTTTCCCCTGTACCTTAATAATATTTACTTGGGTACCTTCTCAAATCTCTCAGTGGCTTTTAAAAAAAGATGTTTCTCTAATACTGCTACTTCATTTGATTTCTGACTTAATTTTTGTCTCCCAACCTTTTTTTTTTTTTCCATTTAATATGAGGGTTCCATGACTTTGAGGTTCTGAGCTGCTGTTGATGTGCTGTACCTCCTTCAATTCTCAGCTCTCAAAGGGGAAAACTGCAGAGGATCGGAAATGCTCTAGTGTCACACCTGGAAACACCCACAGGAAAATTAGTAAGTGTCTCTTCTCAATAAATTCACAGGTGTTATTGAGTCAGACAGCAGTAATATAGTCAGAGGGACAATCTATGGTATGTCTTAACAGCATTTCTCAAACGTTGTTCCAAATTCATCTGATGTTGTTTTTATCTTAGCTCTGGGAATTCTCAAAAGTTTCCTTATTGATTTTTGGGCTTTTAAGGGAAGGATGCTACAGAAAGTACAAAACTGACAGTTTAGTGTTTTATTGTATTGGAAAATTAGTATTTCACATTTGGAATGAGTTACTTCTCATTTCCATACCTCAAAATATTGGTAGCAGATACCTTTATTTCACAGAGAGGATAACTGAGGCAGAGAAATCACATCATTGTCCAAATCAGTTATTAGCTCTAAGGAAAGAGTGAAGATTTGAGGCTCTTGAAACATAATCATCAAATATTTATTGCCAAACTAGAGTATTCTGTGCTCTCTAGGGAGATGAAATATATATATATAGCATAACTTTTTCCTCTAAGAATTTATAGACTAGAAAGGATATCAGGAAAAATAACCTGTGAAAAGTTTAGAAAGAAGGGACTTACCATAAGCACGATGGGAAATCAGTTTGGGTGGCTGTGAAGGAGCAATCAGATGGCTTGAGTAAGATATTGGCAAATACAATTTCTTGAGCTTATGGAGGTCTAGAGGGTGTTGATGTACTACAGCTGTGGGAAAGAAATCTTGAGTAGATTAAGACCAGACTGCTACTTTCTCCTTTGAATAATAAAGCCTCATCAGACATTTTTAAAGAAAGGTATCAGCAAAATGAAATGAGGCTGAGCCACAGAGGCATCTTGCTTAGTCCATAAAGGCTTTGGATTCTCCGGGATTCTCTGTGAAATTAGATATCTCAGTCATATTCTTCATCCTTTTTGGAAACTTAGTCAAGGAGTCTTTGAAGAAAGCAGCTATATGTTTTTTAAGAGAGATAGTGATGATAAATGTATCAGTAATTTTTTAAAAAATTTGCTCTTTACAGAGTAGCAAGTTATATATCTTGTCACATAATGCATTTGAGACAGAAGTAGATCAAATGAATTTATAAGAGCAGCTCTTTTGTAATAATGGTAATAGTTTAATATAGCTTCTTATCCTTTAATTTTGAATCATGCAGGAAAAAAATAACCTAATAAGCACTATGCCCTGTAGACACTTTATAAATGTTAACTGTATGCATGAGAGTTTGTTCTAAAAGCATTAAAAGGCCTTTGAAATATTATATTTATAATGACCTTCTCAATATATTTGGGTAAGAGAGTACTCAAGTATGAAATAGAAAAAGTAGATTACCTACATAATGAATAGCATTTCATTTAGCATTTTATTTTCCTACTGCATTAAAGTTTATTTCACATATTGATTAAGTGATTTATTTTTTCTCTTCAATAGATATACGTATTCCCAACTGACCCTGGTTGAGAAAAATTGCATCTGGGAATCAGAGTTACATAGCATAGCATGCTCTTTATCCAGATAACCAAGGTAGAAAACTTTGGGCAGAGGTTTTAGCACTGGTTGAGGAGTTCTTCTTTTTTGATGAAGTCTAATGTTTAAACTGTTTTCTTACAGATATATTTCAGACCTTACTTACAGATAAAATAGTACTTATTTTATGTCTTAACTCCTTTTCAAAAGTACATTATAGCTTTTGTACTTTACCCTTAAACATCATTTAGATCACAAATGTATAGTTATCGTCTCTGTTTCTTCTTGTGTGGCTATGTAGGGGTATGTTTTCACTCCTGGGTATTTTCTTTAGTTTTTCCTGCTATATCACTATTAGAGAGTGATTTTATTCACCACTCACTAAACATCTATCCTATAGATCTTGGTATACAGACCTCTGTACTCTTTTTGTACTGATTAGATTAACTGGAGAGACTCCTGGTCTCTTTGAGTCTCAGAACCTGCCTGGATTACCATAGTGTCATGGTTAGGTTTTTCATGAAAGGGTTTAGGGAGTATACAGTTGCTGGTTCTTAGATTGATGCTTGTTTTGCAGCTAATTTTGAGCTTGTTCAACTTCAAGAAAAACTGAAGGAGACAGAGGAAGCCATGGAAAAATTAATCAACAGAGTGGGACCTAATGGGGAGAGGTAGGTTTTCATCTAATAGGACTCATTTCCCATTTAGAGAATCAATTAAAATTTTTTTTCATTTCTTTGATATATGGACCACTTATTTTCATTTTGTTTAATTGTCAAATTATTTGTTATTTACATAATCTTGCTGAACATTTCCATTTTCATACTATCGAGCAACTTGTTTTTATGAGTTTAGTGTGTCACAAATTATTGTCAGAGTAAGGAAAAATGTGAGTAAATCCTAAAGGATAAAATAATCTGTCTTTAAGAAAGACAGTTTCCTGGCTATCTTAAAAAAAAAGTGTAATTTCAATTAAAACCAGATTGTCGAATATTGTTTTTTCTGTTTGAGACGAGATGACAGAAGAGAGCAACTATCATCACATTAGGCATTTATTTGTGTTTTGTGTTGACTGACTGCCCATAGAGAATTAGACATGTAAAATAGGTGTCAAGAACCATATTAGCTCTTTAGGATGCCCCACAGAGAAGGCACACTCCTCTTGTTACCTTGCTGGCTAAGGATCTGAAAAGGTGGCTGCAAGAGGTTGACAGAAGTGGCAATAACTAAGAATATATGGATGTTGGAAGACCCAGGGCAGAAAAACTGGAATGTGAGATTAAGGACAAAGAGGGATTCTGTTTCATCTAGGCCTTCTAACAACAATGTTGGAAGAACTTTGGGGTGAGTGCAAAATCTCATGCAGGAGGATGTATCAAAGGTCCCTTCTGCAGCTTCAGGGGCACATTTATGGAGTCTTTGCCCCAGGAAATTGCTGGTGTTCTACCTTACCCTTCTCTTTTCCATTCCATGTGTGTTGGGGGCAGGGAGAATATAGATACATTGGGGATTGAAAACACCTTACACCTAAGCTATATCCCCAGCCCCCCACTTGTCATTCTTGATGATACTAGTGCCCCATGTCCCTTTTTCAGCTCACTGGCCCCATCTTTGGCTGGATAGATGAGTGACCATTCTTAGGTTGCAGACTTCTGCCTTGGCATTTCCCTATAATATCTATAGTGCTGCCAAAATTATGTTTTTGAGAATGAACCTTGCCTCAATGTAGGCCCAGGAGCCTTGACCTTCTTGTGGTCCAGAAAGCAGTATTTGTTACTATCTAGAATATTCTCTAAAGTAGTATATATACAATATATCTGTGTGAGTATATAAATAATAGTTGACTTTAACTAAGTACTTACTAAAGACCATGCTGTGAGGTAATTGTTTTATATAAATTATCCAATGTATGATTGTTTGTATGCGTAACAAAACTAATTACACGTCAGTTATATTTCTCTGGCCTTTCTGTCCTTACCCGATTGCTTCCACTCACAGTTACCCAGGCTTTAATAGACCCTCATGCCCTAAAAAAGAAAAAAATTTTACCTGGGCCATTGAAAATCCCATGCCACACATAGGGTCATGAAAACCATAGGTGAATATCTATGGGCAGAGCCCTGATTTGTGAGACCCAGCCCTTTGGGCTTTGGAGTAAAAAATTACATGAAGGTATTTTCTCCTATTACTCACTGGTACTCACATTCCCTTAGTCCAAATGAAATAATCTACCATCCAACCTATGCATACCATCTGTCTATAGCCCAATCCGGGAATGTGTACTGTAGTCTCTAACTACTATCTGTCCTCTTGTGCCAGGATTAATTCTCCATATTTTATGTGTAGAGCTAAGGGAGTTCTTCCTGCACAGCAGCCAGAGTTTTACCATCTCATTGTTTCTGGGACCACAAGTCCCAACGTAGAGTGTTTTATTTCTTACAAGATGCTGAGGTGTTGACTCCTTGAAAACATTGATTCCAGCTTCCAATGGAAAGAATATGTAAAAAAATTTCCGCAGTACTTGTCAAGAACTTTGGGGCAGCTCTTCTTCCATGAAAGAGAGCATGACTTCTCACCCTTCCCCAAACTCTCATTTTCTAGTCCATATGATGTGACTTTCTCTATGACCCTCCTTAGGCCAATACATTTTATCTTTACCAGTAAGCCCTTTAGGACTTCCCATACTCAAAACTGAAGACTAGGAAGTCCATGTTTCTACATTGCTTTCCTTCTTATAGTTTATATCTTTTAACCTTCATTTCTGTGGCATTTGTTCTTTTGTAAATCTATGCTTCTGTAATGATTAGAAGAGCCCAAAATACTCCAGTATTTTTTTCTATCAGATCAGGATTTTATCACAGCTCCAGACTTCTGGGGATAAAGGAGAAGATTTAAGAGAAAAAAGATATGTTCATTTATAGCCTCCTAAGTCCTTTTATGTGGTTCATTTATAGCTCTGAGATGCTGGCTTGAATTAGAGAAATATGCCTAAAACTTTATCTTATATATGTTTATGTAAGAATAGGAATATGGGAAAGGTTTTTAATATTGTCTAATAAAACTTTTCAGACAGCTTTCACCTGTGAGTGGTGTAAGTCTGTACACAAATTTTAATGAAACCTCCTGGAAGTCAGTATTATGCTATGTTAGGCTCATATTAAGAATAACATTTAGCTCAGGAATACAGAATAAGGAAAGGATCTAGGAAAATTTCCTTCCAAGAGTCATATGCCCAATTGTAACTATTTACGTGCTAGAAACATGGCATGTCACAAGGAAAACTATGAGGGACCAACCTCTGATAACGAAGAGCTGTTGTAGACATGTTGAATATGTGTTGAGAATTGCTGGTAGATTTCTGGCATGGATTGCTAGAACATAAACTCTGAGGATAAACTTATTCTGTTTTGTTCAGTGTGTTCAGATAGTAGGTACTAAATATGTACTTGTCAAATAAGAATAGATATCCACTTTTTTTGACATAAGCTTTTGTACATTATTTTCATGATAGAAGAATAAAGCATAGCCATTTCCCGTTGAGATTTCTTTTCTTTCCTTTATGAACTCTTTATTCTTAGCTCTACTGGACAGACATATCTTATAGGTACCTATTGTTAGCCTCATCAAATAATAAAAATTTCTTGAATAGATAAATGTCCTAAAGTGGAATTTATTTTCCACCCTAAGCTAAGCCTACTCTGCCTTTAATATTTCCATTTCAGCAGATGGGTCTACCATCTACTTTGTTGCCCAAAGTGGAAATTAAGCATCATGCTTGATCCACCTTTTCCTTTACTTCCTATATCTTATTAATCACCAGGTCTTGCCATTTCCTCCTAATTAGTAATGCATTCAGTGTGCAAAAGACTGTAAATTTTTTGAGGGTAAGGATTATCATTCTTAGTTTCTACAGCCTAGCACAGACCCATAATAAGCTCTAAAAAAGTATAGTTGAAATGGAAGAAAGAATGGATGGCTTTGGTTTTGACATAAGTCAGAACTATCTCATGTGATTTCTTTTTCTCTAGTTTTGTCTCCATTCAGGTCACTTTCTGCTTTCCAAAAAGATGTATTATATAAATTTTTTAAACCTTCAGAAATGCCTTTTGATCTTGAACAGTGCAGAATCTTTATCATGACCTACATAGTCCTGCATACCTCTATTGCTTTATCTTTCTCTATGTTCCAGCCAGCCTGACCACTTGATTCTCTAAAATACCTGTGCACCTTTGATTCAAAGACTTTGCATGTACTTTTTCCTTTGCCATCACCCCATCACCGCCGCACACTTATTATGACTCTTGCTTGTCTAATAGATCTCAACATAGACATTATTTTCTCTGAGAGTCCTTCCCTGAACCCATAAAACTTGGCTAGTTATTCCTCCCATGTGGTTCCACACGACCTGGTCTTGCTGGGTATTATATGCATCATGTTACTTTCTGATTTTCTTTTAACTTCTGACTTCTCTAATGCTCAGTAAACTTCTTAAGGGCAGAAAATTTTCATTGTCCAAGTTTATATTCCTTGTAAACTGACAATGTTCACATATCTTTAAAAAAATGAATAAGGTAGATCTAGAGAAAGTACTTAAAGCAGGAGGCTTTGGCAGTAAAAATATCTTCTTTGGAACCTCTTTTCATTTGCTTTGTGCAGTCCTGTATGGTTATCAGTGGCAAGTATTATTTTCTCTATAAAGACCTGTATGGAAAAGAGGTGCTATGGGAGCCTGAATTAGCTTCTGTAACAAATTACCACAAACCTAATGGCTTAAAACAACACATATTTATAATCTTAATGGTTCTGTAGGTTAGAAGTCTTATACTGAGTGAAAGTCAAGATGTTGGTAGGATTGCATTCCCTTTTCAAGGGCTTGGAACAGAATTTGCTTACTCTTTTTGGCTTCTGGAAGCTGCCCATACCCCTTGGCTCCTGGCCCCATTCCTCCATCTTCAAAGATATCAACAGTAGGTTCAAATCTTTTCACATTATATCATTCTGACCTCTTCTGCCTCCTTCTTCCACTTTAAAGGACTCCTGTGATTACATTGTGCCTTCTCAGATAATCCAGGTTAATCTCCCTATTATAAAATCAGCTGATTAGCAAACTTAATTTCATCTACAACTTTAATTTCTCTTACATGTAAGGTATCATATTCATAGATTACAGAGTTTAGGACCTGGATATCTTTGGAGAGTTGAGATGGGTCTTATTCTGCTTTCCACCAAAGGTTTTATAGAAGAGAATTTGAAAAGAGGAATTTGAATAAGCCTTACAATATGGAAGGATTGCTGTAGGCAGAGTTTAGGAAAATAATGTTTCAGAGGGAGAAGGCAGCACAAGAAGAAAAGGTAGAAGAATCAAGGCAAGTTTTTGGAATAGCAAATAGTTCTAAGGAATAGGGGTAGCATATACTAGGGATGGGGTAAATGGGTAAGGAGGTAAGTAGGTATTGAGAGAATGAGAAAAGTAAACTGAAACCATATACTAAGGTCCTGAATAGTATGCTGAGAAGTTTAGAATTAATTCTTTATAGAGGGGTACCTCTGAAGACTTTGGAAGAGAAATGTCATGAAATTCTGTGTTTAGAAAAAATTGATCTTACAATGAAATGTAGAGTGGTTACATGTTAGAAGGTTATTTAAACATTTCTAGCAAAAGGTAATAAATAGACCAGAGTAGAAAATGAAGGGGATTTCATGGAAGAACAAAATCACAGGTTTTATCAGGATTTCTTGTTGCAAGCAACCAACTCTGGCTAGCAAAAATTTGTAGGAGAGAGGGCAGATTATATTGGAAGAATATGAAATAGTTTACAATATCAAAGGAACAGCTAAAATGTATTAAAACGGAAGGGGGAAGAAAAGGAACAGCTAAATATCCAGGTTTTAGGAAGGGTGGTAACCAGAGCAGCTCTTGGGCAGGAACAAAGAGACAGTCTCTTCAAAGGTAATGAATAGACCAGTCAGAGACTAGCTACCAAGATATATTTATACCAAAAGTATTTAATTCAGGCTTCACTGTGTTCAAGATCCAGTTTTGGGAGAAAGTACAGTTGGTCCAGCTTGATCCTGGATCTATCAATCAATCAAAATCACTGCAGCCAAGAGAGGATGGAATCTGATGAATAGCCACTTGGCCACCCTCAAAGGAGAGGTAAGGGGATGAATGGTTTTACTTAACCTTTGCACCATGAGTGGAAGAAAAGTTGGTCTGCAAAGGAAACTTACTAACTAGGTAAGAGAAGAAAAGGAGGAGAAAGACAAGAAAATGAATTAAAGATTTTCAGCTTTTACTGGAAGGAGATTATGGCATTAACCAAGATAAAACATAGGAGAAAGAAGATAAGACTTCGAGATAGGGAGCACGAGTTCAACTTTGAACGTGGTTGAGATGCCATCAGAATATCCAGATATTATATATAATAGCAGTAGTAAATTTGGGTTGTGAGGTCAGAACAAAGGATTTAGGTTTGGAAGTCATTTGTTGGGTGTAAGAGATAGAGACTATGGGGAAAGAGGAGATCACCAAATCCTTGAGGCCTCTCATACTCTACTGTAGTAGACTGCAGTCTCTTTCTGGTTTGATTTTTATTCTAAATTATTCTATGAATGGTGTTGTTAGAGTCTATTTCATTTTCTCTCTATTTAACTCTTGGGTTCAGAACTTAATGACTATTTTGGCTAAAAGTCTGTGATATTATCTCCCACCTGTTACCTTTCATTTTACTAGCATCTCAAAATATGCCATACTCAACCTTTCCAGGCTGCTGTTCATTCTGTTGCTTGTGATCCTGGGCCATCTGGGTCCTGGTTTTGAATAGTGAAATTAAGATTAATTTAAGGTGTAATGTAGTGACAAGGCCACCAAGTGGAAATGCCCAGGAGATAATTCCAAGATGGATCTTTGTATATAAAAAGTAAGATTAGGACTGTGTGTGTGTGTGTGTGTGTGTGTGTGTGTGTGTGTGTTGCTGGGGATTGAACCCAGGGCTTCACCCATTTTAGGCAAGCACTTTATCACCAAGCTACATTCCCAGCCTGAGTTAGGTCATCTTCTGCATAGAGGTAATGATTTATTCCTTGATATTGCTTCAGCTTCTTGAGGCCAAGGATTATAATGGATAAGTGAGAGTCCTCAGATTGAGCCTTAGAGAAAACCATTTTTAGGTGAAAGAAGGATTACAGGTGAGCCAGGATTAAAGTTAAAGGCAATAGTTAAAAGAAGTGAGAGGAATGCAGATATTTCAATGGCCAAGGAAGGTGGGGAGTTTCATGGGAAGGATGGTTTACAGTATAGAAAAGCCAAAAAGAATGAACTGGGAGAAAGAAACCCTGGGGCTTAGAAGTGGTGACTGATGATTTTTAAAGTTTTTGTGAAAATAATGAGATGGAAGCCAGATTTCAGGGAGGTGGAAGAAAACAGATAGTAAGGATTTAGGGAACCAGTCCAACTATTAATAGATACTTATTAAACACTTAAAATGATCATGACACTGTGCCTGTTTTGTTGTGAACATATTATCACTGCCCTCTAAGACAATCAATTCAAGTTGAGAAATAAGGAATCCATGAAAACATTCATTGTAGGAAATTCAGAAGACATTATAATATGGACCATAGTTAACTGACTAAACATTTAATGTGAGTATGCTTGTTCCAAGTTAAAAGAGGATGGCTTTATTTGGAATTTTTGTCTGTTCCTGTTTCTCTGAGCCTAGCCATTCTTTTTTGTTTAAGGATTTCTAACTTTCCATGAGTTAGGAAGCAGAGAATCAAGATTATTTCATTCAGTAAACATCAGAATGCTCTGCATATAGTCAGAGAAGTAGCCTGTGAAGCCTGCAAGCCAGAACTCTGTGAGGTAGGCTCTTCTGGTCTACCTTTGACTACTTCTACTGAGTGGGTTATTTCAGTAGTAAGAGTTAGGGGGCTTGTGAGGCCCAGGTTCAGTCCTGGTGAGTTAGGACTTCTGTACTAATGAATAGAATTGTAAAAGGTCCTATAAGATTCTAGCTGAAAGTAGAATGGATAGATTCTTCAGTTCAAGATTTTGAAGCCATTTTGTGTGGAAGGACTGGAGCTCATCATGGTGTTTTTGTTTTCCTCCCACTGAGACTGGTAGAAATGTCATGCCTTCATTTTCCTCAGTTACTATCTTAATTAATAAGCTGTCAACTAATGAAGGAGTCTCAGTTTTATAGTTTACAATGAGGGTGAATTAATGATTGGCAACGGAGGCAAAGTGTGTCAGTGTGGGCAGTCAGGAAAAAAGTTGTAGAAAGTACAAAACTCATTGTCACTGGGAAAAGCTTAGAACTCAGTGTTCACTGCTTATATTCTTCCTCTAGGACCCATTGTTACCCAGAGCATCACTATTTGCTTTTCTTCTTCCAGGACTCATCAGCAATGGGAAAGAGTAAAAGTTCAGGGCCCAGCATTTCAGTATCCACCTCCTCCTTCAGGACCCATTGTGGCTGGGAAAGGATGAATGTTTGCTTTTGGTAGAGATGCAGGGGAAGCCCAGGAAGGGATGAAAGTTTTCTTTCTTTCCCTGGGGCCCATTGTTATTGGGAAAGGATTTACTGGGAGAGGATTAATGATTACCTTCCTCCTCCATCTTCCTCTGGGTCAGACAGTTTTAGGGGGTTTGGTTGTCATTTCCCTGTCCTGGGGGTTGTCATTTTTCATATCCTTTAGAAGGAGAAATACTTTTTTCCTTTTCCCTATTAGTCATTAAGGCTAAAATTTGTTAAGCTGATCATAAAACATGAATGTAGGCCCAGAACAAACTAGTGAGAAGAACAGAGGGCACCTTCATGAGGCTCGCACAGACATTATTATGTTAATTGCACATATGTTAATTTGGAATGTTCAGATTTAAAGGAGAAAATAAAAAATTGAAATCTGAAATCCTGCCACTTGATAAAATTGGTCTCAACTGTCTTAAAGAACTGATCATACAGTTATTCTTGAGCTTCATATTATTTTTGCAAATATTTGTTTAGAGCCACACAGTCAAGTTGAGACTCAAACCAGGTTTTTTGAACTGTGGAGCTTGAGCATTATGTTTCAGAAATTGCACAGAAGGGCTGGAGTGTGGCTTAATGGTAGAGCACTTGCTTAGCTTATATAAGGTTCTGAGTTTGATCCTGAGCAACACACATAGAGAATACTATTAGAAATCACATTAGTCTTGGTTATAATGCTGCCATTTACTAGGATTAGGGAATCGAGGCAGTGAGTTATACTGAAAGATCACTGGACTAAAGGCTAAGACATTTGGGGTTTTATCCCCAGTATTGACATTAACTCATTGTGGGACTTGGGTAATCCCTTTTCTTCCCTGATCTATTCTTGGCCTTAGATTTCCCATTTTTAAGATAAAAATGTTGAGCTAACATTAGTTCTTGGTCATGCAGTTCTAGGATCCAGACAGATCATAGTGATGTTTCTGCCCATTACCTCAGAGTATTTACTGCTAAATGGCTGGATTGTCTGATATTTTCTAAGCAGAGTACAGTCTGTGACTTCTGACCAAGAGAAACGATTGCTGCATCAGCTCCGAGAAATTACCAGGGTCATGAAAGAAGGAAAGTTTATTGACAGACCCACCCCAGAGAAAGAAGCTGAGGAAGCCCCTTACATGGAGGACTGGGAAGGTAAGGAGTCTCTTTTCATTTCTTCATTAGTTGTCAACCCAGAAAAGAGAGCTTACAATTTTTAAAAAAATTCAATTCTATTATTGAGGTATAATATAATAATTTAATTTAAAATATACAGTTGGATGAGTTTTGACAAGTGTATATAGTTGTGTAATCATACCACAAAGTTTTGGTATAGTGCTGTGACCTGTACAGCATAAACAAAGGATCTGTAGTAGGGGTGACAGGAGATTAAGAAAAACATGGAGACAAAGAAAAAGAGAGATACTTTTAAGCAAAGCTGGGGCCAAGTGGGATGGTGCCCTCTGATGGAAGAATAGTAACCCAGAACTAGCTCCGCAAGTTTATCATATAGGGTCTAATAATCAGGGAGTTTAACTATAGTGGTATTGTAAATTGTTCAAGGCTTGTGAGTTATCAGGAGGCTTCTTTGTGTACTAAAAAGTTACAGAGCTAGAAACATTTTTGTGGCTATCTACATTTTTGTGGTACCCAGAAAACCCATTGTACTGGAATGTCTAATAACTATCACTAGCATTAAAGCCAGGTATCAAGGCTGTTTGCATCCTTGCCTTTTGGCAAGGAATGTTTCCCAGGCTTGGCTTTTGCCTATACCACAGGATCATCCAATAACTGAGCTCATCTGCTCTCCCCAGAATAGGACATTTCCATCACCGTAGAAAGTTCCCTTCTACCTCTGGCAAAAACTGAACTACTTTCTGTTCCTGTTGTTTTGCTTGTATAATATAAATGGATCTTACTGTTTATGCTTTTTGGCTTCTGGCTTCTCTGATTTAACCAATGATTTTTAGATTCATATGTGTTGTTGAATGTATCTGTAATTCTTTATTTTTTATTGCTTAATATTATTCTGTTATGTGAACATACCATAATTTGTTCATCCCTTCTCCAATTGAGGAAAACTTGGGTTGTTTTTAGCTTTCAACTATTATAAGTAAGTTGCTACAAAATTTTATATGCAAGATTTTGTTTGGCCATAAATTGGTATTTCTTTGAAATATATACTTAGGAGTAACATTTCTAAGGTTTGTGGTAAGTGTATGTTTAACTTCATTAGAGCTGTCAACTTGCTTTCCAAAGTGGTTCTAACATTTTCCCTTTTCACTAGCAATGTATGAAAATTCATTTACTCCACATCTTTGCTAACTTGTGGTATTATCAGTCTTTTTAATTTTAGCCACTCTAGTGAGTATATAGTGGTATCTCAATTGTGAATTTAATTTGCATCTCTCCATTGACTAATGATGATGAACATTTTTTCATGTGCTTATTTGCCATTTGTATGTCTTTGATGAGGTGTTCATTCCAGTTGTTGGCCATTTTTAAAATTATGTTCTTATTGACATTATGTTCTTACTGAGTTGCAAAAATTCTGTGTATGTCCCTGAATAAAATCCTTTATCAGTTACATATTTTGCAAATATTTTCTCCTAATCCATGGCTTGCCTTTTTATTTTTTTAACATTTTTAAAAGAGGAGAAGTCTTTCTTAACACCCCCCAAAAATAATCCAACCAGTAAATAGACAAAGGAATTGAATAGGCACTTCACAGAAGAAGAAATACAAATGGTCAACAAATGTATGAAAAAATTCAATTCTATTATTGAGATATAATATAATAATTTAATTTTAAATATACAGTTTGGATGAGTTTTGACAAGTGTATATAGTTGTGTAATCATACCACAATCTTGGTATAATGCTGCGACCTGTATAGCATAGCAATTAGAGAAATGCAAATTAAAACTACACTGATATTCCATCTCAGTCAGAATGGCAATTTTCAAGAATACAAGTAATAATAAATGTTGGTGAGGGTGTGGGAGAAAAGGCACACTCTTACATTGGTGGTGGGACTGCAAATTGGTGTAGCCCCTCTGGAAAGCAGTGTGGAGATTCCTCAGAAAACTTGGAATGGAACCACCATTTGACCCAATTTTCTACTCCTTTGAATATACTCAAAAGTCTTAAAATCAGCATACTACATGATGCAGCCACATCAATATTTATAGCAGCTTAGTTCACAATAGCTAAGCATTGGAACCACCCTAGTGCCCTTCAACAGATGATTGGATAAAGAAAACGTATTATATATACACGTGGAATATTACTCAGCCATAAAGAAGAATGAAATTATTGCATTTGCAGGTAAATGAAACTAGAGACTATCATGCTAAGTAAAATAAGGCAGCCCCCAAAAACCGAAGGCCAAGAGGCTAGAGTAGTGGTTCAGTGATAGAGTGTTTGCCTGGCATGTGTGAGGCTCTGGGTTCAATCCTCAGTACCACATATACATAATAAAAGTTTTATTGACAACTAAAAAATACACACACACACACATACACACACTAAAGGCCAAATGTTCTCACTGATATGTGGATGCTAACACAATATCAGGTAGGAGGAAAGAATAAAAGTTCAGTAGATTAGATAAAAAGGAATGAAGGGAAGGGAGAAGGGATAGGAATAGGAAAGACAGTAGAATGACATAATTTTCCTATGTTCATATATGAATATATGGCCAGTGAAACTTCACATTATGTACAACCATAAGAATGGGATCCTAATTAGAATGTGGTACCCACATCCTCCATATATTTATAGTATCTCAAAATACACTCTTCTGTCATATATGTCTTAAAAGAACAAATTTAAAAAAATAGTTTCTGGGGACAGTAAACAGAATTTTCAAAGATCAATTATATTTGGAATAATGACATTTAAAGACATTAATTTATAGAAATTTAAAATACTTAAATAAGATATCAAGGGCTGGGGCTGTAGCTCAGTGGTGGAGTGTTTGCCTCACAAGGGTGAGGCACTGGGTTTGATCCTTAGCACCACATAAAAACAAATATATATGAAATAAGATATCAGAAGTGTTTAGCATTTGTCATAAAAGCAAAACGAAACAAAAACTTTCAGGTTTTTGGCAAAAAGAAAGAAATGACTGGTTTTAATACTTGAAATAGAAAATAGGTATACAGGTTGATACTTGGTTTTGCTGATATGGAGAAGCTGGACAGTTGGGTCCAAGGAAATACTTTTTATTAATGTATTTGTTTTTAATGTATATAGATTTTTTTCTCCCTTTGTTTTTCCCTGTAAGTTATTCTTCAGAACTGCTCAATTCAGTCCAGCACATAAGGTCCATGCTAAAATGAAAACAAAGAAAAATCTAAAAAAAGAGAAGTTTTTAATTCTGATGAATCTAGTTTTTTTTTTTTTTAATAATTTATATTTTTTTGGTGTATTCTGTTTAAGAAATCTTTGCCCAATCCAAGATTTTTCTAGCTTCTATTTTTTCTTCTAGAAATTGTATGGTTTTAGCTTTATACTTAGGCTTGTGATCTCTTTTGAGTTAATTTTTTATAAATGGTATGAAGTATCAGGACCTAGTTTTATATTTTACATATCAGTAGCAGTTACTCCAGTTTCTTTTGATACATTTAGTTACTTTGGCACATTGATTGAAAATCAGTTGACCATGTGTATATATGTCTATTTTGGACTTTATACTGTTCCATTGATCTCTGTCTTATCACAATGCCTCTGTTACTGTGTCTTTATACTAACTCTTGAAATCGGGTCATTACAGGTTCTTTAATTATCTTCCAAAATTATTTTGGCTATTCTAAGATTTTCACATTTTCATATGAATTTATAGTCAAAGGTAGTTGTTTTATGACAAAGTTTGATGGTATTTTGATTGATATTGCATTAAATCTTTAGATCAATTTGTAAGAATTGATATTGTAACTATATTGAATCTTCATTCCATGAACTTGTTATATCTCTCTACTTATTTAAATATTTAAAAATTTCCCTCAGCAATGTTTGAAGTTTTCAGTATATAGGTCTTTTTTTCCAATGTATAGGTCTTGCATATGCTTTATAATTTGTCTTTAAGTAGTAATATCATAAATGATATTTTTAAAATTTTAATTGCTACTAGAGCAGTAGAAATACGATTGATTTTTGTATTCTGACCTTTTATCCTGTGACCTTGCTAATGCACTTAGTTCTGATAGCTTTAAAAAATATACACAGCCACTTAAGTTCCTTAGGGTTTTCTGTGTAGATGATCAAATTGGCTATGAATTTCACCTCCTTTCTAGCCTATATGCCTTTTGTTTATTTATTTTCTTGCCTTACTGCATAGCTAAGTCTCCACAACAATGCTGAAAGAAATGGTAAAAGCAAATCTCCTTGCTTTCTGGTATCAGGAGAAAAGCACTCATATGCTCCTTAGATACTCCTTTTCAGGTTGAGGAAGCTACTTTCTGATCTTATTTTTCTGAGAGCTATTAAACATAAACTGGTATTGAATTTTTAAAAAATCAACTGAGATGATTATAGTTTTGTCAGTTAATGTGGTGAATTACATTTTTTTTTTTTTTTAAATGGTTGTGGTTCTGGGGATTGAAGTTCCCAGCCCCTGCATTGATTTTTAAATGTTAAAAGTTTTGTATTCCTGTGATAAGCCCTATTTTGATGTGATGATATAAATGGCTATTTAATAGGCAAAGATTTTTTTTTAATGTCTGGTTTATGAGGGCTATTTATCAGTGATTTTCTTTTCCTGTAATGTCAATGGTCTTTATTTCAAGATAATGGTGGCCTTTCAAAATGTATTGGGATATATTCTGTTTTCTGGAAGAGTTTGTGTAGAGGTACCATTATTTCTTTCATAAACATTAGGTGGAATTCTCCAATGATGCTATCTGGGCCAGGAGTTTTCTTTATGGGAAAACTCACTATGAATTGAGTATCTATAATAGAAATAGTGCTATTAAGGTTATCTAGGTTTCCTTGAATGGACTTTGATAGTTTGTACCTTTCAAGGAATTTACATATTTCATCCAGGTTATCAAATCTGTTAGGGTAAAGTTTTTTTGTAATAGTCCCTTATAATCCATTTAAAGTATGTAATATCTGTAGGGATGTGCCCTGTTCTGTTTCTTATATTGGTAATC